ACGCGGCGGAACCGCGTTCCGGCACCTTTTTCCGGGCCGGCCGCACCGGAAATAGCCCCTCCCACACCGGAAATAGCCCCTCCCAAATTTTACTTGCATTCCTGTTCTCTAAAGGGGCGGTCCTAGGGTTTGATGAGGGCGTGGCCAGGTTTGAGTTCCGCCACCTTTTCTCCGAGAAAAAAAGCCCTGCATATATCTATATGTAAATGGCATGTGACTTAGTTAAATATTTCTTAATTATTCCTTTAGCATTTTGTATTACATGTACTGTACATTGTTTATTATGTTGGTGAGATCGTATCACATTGAAAATATTTGTGAGCAAAACTATGAAGTTTCATAAACTGACAAACTTTATCTTGTTTGCTTTAATCTGTAATTATTTATTTTTAGGCATATCTTGATGAATTAGTTGAACTTCACAGAAGGTTAATGACTCTAAGAGAAAGACATATACTGCAACAGGTGAGGACTTCTGTATCTTTTAAACAGTTCTCCAAAACTAAAATTGTATTAAAAGAACAAAATCTAAATTTGATTTTTCAACAGAAAGCAAATCCATCAATCAAAATATTAGCGCCTCACCATTTTTTATAACCTATTCAGTCCTACAAAAGCATACTTCACACTGAAATGAATTTCCTGAATGTTCAAATTATAACCGAAAATTCAGAAGATGTTAAATTAATTCACATAATTCAGACTTCAATTTAGTTCTGCAATACTGAAATTTGAATTAGTTATTTTCACTTATTTATGGACTTTGTGTATTACTACTTTGGTGTGGCTCAACAGGAAAATAATTCTTTTTTCACAGAAATTTAGTGCTTCACTATGAAAATTTAAAAATACAGAATTTTCTGCAGTTAACACTGCTTACAGTATTGACTTCAATAATAATAATAATAATAATAATAGTAATAATAGTAATAATAATAATAAACATTCCCCAGTATAATATGTATTCATTCTCTCTGCCTTTGTCCTACATACTGTACACACACCCAAATATAAATGACATATCTATAAAAGCAATTATTTATCTGTTTGTTCATTGCAAAATCTTGCTTCTTTTTTGTTGGTGAGTATTGCAATTTAGGTTCATGTTCATCTTCAATCATGGACCTGCAGTAACTGCCTGGCTTCAGGCCAGTTGCTCTTTCTAAACCCAATCTACTACTTGAGGATCTTCATATAAGGTAGTGAGCTGAGGATATACATTCAATGACACAAATACATTTTCCTTCATACTATTTATTTATTTAAAACTCCAAGTCAGGCATGTCAAATTGCAGGCCAGATGCGTCACGCCAAAATCGCATCCACCCCATTGCCAGCAATGGGGAAAAAGTCCTGATGCGTTGCACGTCACATGACGTCACGAGTTTGACATGCCTGCTCTAAGGCTTCAAGTTCTTGATTCATCATGTGGTGAAGCTACATGCAATCTCACTTGATGATTCTCTGCAGGCTGACTTTCTCTGAAAGCAGTGCTCAGCTGGATCAATTAATATGAGTGTGTAGGCTTCAGATTTGAGAAATGGAGTCTGATTAGTCATAATGCTTCAAAGCCCATGACTAACTCACCCTGAGTGTTGTGGTAATGATAGGCTTAATATCATGACAACATATTAACTTTAGCTGACCCCTAAATCAGAAAATGATGCACTTCTATTTCAGATTTTAACTCACTTGGTAACTTATCATTTAAATGGCAGATTATCATGACTTACATCAATAGATCTTATAATCAATGCTAACCCTTCCCAATGTTTATTGATTAAATTTATGTTCTGCTCATCTCACTATTGAAGCTACTCTAGGTGCCAATATGAAGAGAGAGAAAATGTATGTTGTTTATTTATTTATTCACTTATATCCTGACTTTACTTTTTTTAATAAATAACTCAAGGAGGTAAACATTTATTTTTATTTTTATCATTTATAAATAATTTATTGATTTGTATCCTGTCTTTGGGGAGCACGATGGCTCAGTGATTAAAGATGCTGGGCTTGTTGGCTGGAAAGTTGACAGTCCAGGTTTGAGACCTGAGCACCATGTGACGTGATAAGCTCCTGAAATCCTGCCCCCAGCACCTGCCCAACTAGCAATCCAAAAGTATGCAAATAGGAGTAGATAAATAGGTACCACTTTGGTACTCCTCGGCATGTTTCACGCTGGCCACATGACCATAGAAAATGTCTTTGGACAATATGGGCTCCCTCAGCTAAGAAACGGAGATGAGCCCTGCCCTAGAGAGTCAGACATGCCTGGACAGAGGAAACCTTTACTTTTATTTTTATCCTATCTTTATTATGTTTACAAATAACTGAAGATAGTGAACATATACAACCACCTTCCTCCTTCTGTTTTTCCTCACAACAATCCTGTGAGGTGGATTGGTCTGAGAAAGAGTGACAGGCCCAAGGTCACCCAGTTGGCTTTGACGGTTAATGCGGGACTAGAACTCATGGTCTCCTGGTTTCTAGCCTAGTGCCTTAACCACTAGACCAAACTGGCTTTACATTTAGATTTACCAGATATTTTTTTCCTATTCTTAAACACTTAAAGAAAATCATTTTTAGGTTAAATGCTAAAACCAGTCCTTCTATATACATTCTGTTATAGAAGCATTTACATTGCTGCTGCCAGATTGATTGCAGTGATTAAATAACAAAGTGTAGTTTATTTCATCAAAAACAAATAAAACTCTCTTGAGACTTTGCATCCTAAATCTTCAGCTGAATTATTTTTAATGTGATTTTAAAACTGATAATCTGAAATCTTGCCAGCTATTATTTTATTTCCCCCCAAAATATTTCTTAATAGATTAAGAATACAAGTGCCAATATAAAAATCTGGTTTCCTTTGGCAGGTTGTCAGGAAAAGCCCTCAGGTTTACTGGCTATATTCTTGAGCTATACCTCTATTAAATGTGAATATTCATCCCACTCAGTTGTGATATTGGGACTATATTTCCAAGAGGCCCTTATGAAAAGCGGGATTCCCAATGTTCATGCTGTTTTTATTTAGGAGCTTAAAAAGGATAGATAGTAATCAAACCAAATCGAGGATTCATTTCTCATCCCTCTAAAGAGTACTGCATTGCTTAAAAATGCATCTGTTAACACTTCCTAACAGCTTTTGAATTTCTTAAATTTATTATCAAGGGAGTTAATGGAAAGCCTTGTTTTGGCAGAGTATCACAGGAAGGCATATCAAATGTAGATCATTCTTTAAAAAAAAAATACTTCTGAAAGTTTTTTCTAGAAATCTTCCTGGGCTGGTTTATTAGCTGGGGTTAAATGAAGCATATTTTAGAATTACATTCCTAACTCATTACTTCGACACAAGCTGTGGAGTGTTGGAGCCAAAGTTACTATATAAAACAGTATGGCAGAAATAAATGAATGTCTACTTTAAACATGGTGCTTCTCAGCAGGTTGACATTTAATTTTTAGCAATGCTGTATGTTTCACATTGTGGACCGGTTAAACATTTCATTAGTTCTTGCTGATTTGGAACTACATGGGTGGAAATATATAGACTTAATACTACAGAGTTCCAGGTTATTCAGTTGGGCTATCTCACCAGAATTGCTTGCTTCTTGCTCATTTAATAATATAACTCTTAATATTTCTATGTCTTTCAGTTCAAAATGTTCTAAGGTTTTGCTGTTCCTTAAGTACCAAAAGCATATATAGGTAGTCCTCGACTTACGACCGCAATTCAGCCCAAAATTTATATTGCTAAGTGAGACAGTTAAGTGAATTTTGCCCCATTTTACAACTTTTCTTGCCACAGTTGCTAAGTGAATCCGGATTCCCGTTAATTTTACTTGTCAGAAGGTCACAAAAGGTGATCACATGACTCCGGAACACTGCAAACGTCATAAATATGAGTCAGTTGCCAAGCATCTGAATTTTGATCGTATGACCATGGGGATGTTGCAACGGTTGTGTGAAAAATGTATCATAAGTCACTTTTTCAGTGCCGTTGTAATTTCAAGCTGTCACTAAATGAATTGTTGTAAGTTGAGGACTACCTATATTTTTATTTTATTTATAGTATGGCTGCCTGCTTGGAAATAATGATTGGAGAAACATCCAGTAAATAGCATTTGCGCATTTCATATCATAGTTTCCCACTGCCTTATACATTGATATATGGTGTTTGCAAATTAAACTGTATTAGATTATTAGGAATAGTTCTAATTCATAGGCAGAGTATGTGCTTTGCATGTACAAGATGCAAAATCTAATTTGTTTTTATCTCAGTTGAAAGTTTTTGAATAGAAGAGGAAGAAAAGACCTCTAGATCAGGGGTGTCAAACTGCCGGCCCGCGGGCTGGACGCATCTTCCGGAAGCCGCGCCCACCCCATTGCCGGCAATGGCAAAACCGTCCCGATACGTTGCGCGACATCACATGACGTCATGAGTTTTACATGTCTGCTCTAGATGAAACTTAAGAATGCTAAACCCACTTGATATAATATAATTGTCATCTCCAATACACTTGAACGTCACTATTCAGAAAAGGTTCAAGTAGATCATAGTAAACTATATTATGTGTGAGACATTTTCATGTCAACAAGTAGCCGAATCAAGCAAAATCATAATTGAGAATTGCCAATTAAGAGCTGCTAATCAGTTTGCTACTTCATTTCTCCAATTTGTAGGATACTTGCCTGGAAAGATCGGTAGCACTCTACAAACATTCTGCCTGGTTTAAGAGAAATAAACAATAAAAACTAAGAAAGGTTACAACAAGCATGAGGCTATTGTTGGCATTCATGTATCATGCTCGGGGCCATGGACAAAGAAACAATTTGGTGCTATATTTTATCTGAAAATCTTATGGATGAGATGATCAGAAGTGTTTAAATTTAACCTTTTGTTTTGTTTTTGAATGACAGATTGTAAATCTTATAGAAGAAACAGGACATTTTCACATCACAAACACTACCTTTGACTTTGATCTTTGCTCACTGGACAAAACCACAGTTAGAAAATTACAGAGTTACCTGGAAACATCTGGAGCATCCTGAGGACATCAGTTGTAGTTGCATCAAAAACTGCTGTTGTTTTTTTTTTAATCTGAAAAAGAAAAATAAAACATTCAGAATGATGCAGCCAGGGTGCAAAAACCCCAACAGCTCTCTTCAGCTTTATTTTATTTTTTTTGTTAAAGCCAGTTCATCATCTCTTGATAAAGGAGAAGAATAATGACAAGCCTCAGCGAATTGCTCTTCTCACCAAGGAAATGCTCTGGAAGAGTTAGCCTGGATAGCCTTGAAAAAAAAAACACTTAATGAATGTGTATGGTATCATGTGTCTCTCTCTGTGGTACTCCAGGCCACAAGATAAATGCATGTTCAACACACTGCCTTATTACATAACTGATCTATTTATTACTGCATATGCATATTCTGACGTCCTTGAGGGAATGACACTACCAGACACTACAATGTCCTGTGTCTCACAGATGCTCCTTGGATCCAGCACACCACCATCACGGGTCTTCTGACCTTACTCTTGCTTTGATGCCACTTTGTCTCGACCTTTTTGCTAGTACGGTGTGAAAACCCCCTGCATTGTTTGGTTTCAGTTTCTGTGGTTCCTGAAAATAAGATACTAGTTGTGGGGTAAGGCAGAAAAATCTCCTATCCATCTTTTAAAAAAAAAAAAAATGCTCAGTCTACTGCCGCAGGATTACCCAGTTTGTCATTAACATATTCAGATTCTCACCTACTTCCTATAGTCAGTAAATGAGTAGAACTTTTATTAAGGGGGAAAAAACCTCAAATGTACCAATATGCTATCCCCATTCAGAATTGCTTTCCCGTCAATATTTCTGCATCTGTTTTAAGATTATTTTAGAAACAAGCATAACATTACAAGGAGCTGTTTGCCATAAGCAGAATACTAGTTCAGTTTTCATAGTATAGAAGGCCCTTGATTTGGAACTATTTGTGGCCAACATGCTGAAAATTATTTCTAGGTTTCATTACTTGTTCCATACTTCACATTCAGTTGTAATAGGGCTTTTAATTAAGTGAATTAACTGGTTGATCAGATTAATTTCAGTTGCATAATTAATACATACTATGTTTGAATGTGAATAAATGAGTTCTAAACCTCTCCCCCACCCCCATCCTTTCTTTAAAAAAAAATACATTCATGTATGTATTGCTCTGGGAACCACCTGAGAACTTCCTTCCATTTTTTTTTCCAGAGATGATTGGACTTCTTCCAAAACGGTATCTGTCGTACCATTTTAAATTTTTTAATGGTAAACCGATGTCTTTTAAAAAACAGCCACCCAATAGAAACATCTTTCTTTAGTAGAAATTATCTACTAAACATCACTGCCCTAATTTTCAGAAGTATTTTTTAATCTTGAACAAAAGTGATTTCATAAAACAAAGTAAAACTCCATTTAAGGAAAGAGGGCAGAATAGAGGCCTTCTCTTACTGAAGCCATTAAAGTAGGGATTTCAAGTGATATCCTGATAGAAGATATTGCTTAAGGACTACTTTTAGATCTGAAGGATTTGTTAGCCTTTTCAAAATAAGCTGTGCTTGAAAGCCTGTTGTATTTCCAATTGCTGCTTAGTTACCAGATTGTCATCTATTGCTACAGAATCATCCTGCAGAAACATCTAATGGATTTCCTTGTTCTATGCGCACAGTCTGTTGCAGTATGAAAAATTAAGTTTGTAATAAGGTTATTTCTTCATAATCAAATGGGAATTCTTAACGCTGTTTCTTTAAGTCCAAAGAAATTATTTCCTTTTGTGTGTATGTATTTGTGTGAATGGGTTTTTTTTAATTATTTTTAAATTAAGATATTTGACCTAAACTACGGAAGTCTATCTTAGGCTTTCAAAAGAACAAGTGTACTTTTCTTCAGTAATGTTATGACTCTTATTGATGATTGGCATGAAACATACTTGAAGTGTTATGTTCTTTTTTTAAGTCCAGCTGTTAAATGTGCAATTGTTGGGATGGGAGGTTTTTGAAATCTTTTGACATCGGGCATATGATGTGATCTTGGAGCGTGGTGGGAGATGTTTGAGTGGGGTTTTTTTACATTTTTGTTAGCATTTTTATATGAAATGTTTGAAAATCTAAAGGCTGTCTTTCAACTTTTTTTAACAGTGCACATTCAACACGATTCATTTCAATTGAGCACAAAATGTGTGCTTTGGGGGTGGGGTCAATGTTGACTTTTCTAACTAAATTTTGTGGCAAAAACTCTTGAGAGATTGTTGGAAGGAGCACAGGCCAACATAACTTTGACTATATATTGGACATGTGTTTTTTTTCTTTGTTTTTAAAAAGGCAAAGTAAGTCCTTTGAGCCACAAAAAATAGTAGCTGATGTACAGAATTTGTGGGGGTGGAGGGGTTAACTATGTAAAGGGAATATTACTGAAATTACAGTAGACTCTTAACTCTGACTTGCATGTAGCTCATCAGTCATCCTTATAAAATGTTAGTTCTCTAGTTTGATGAGAATGAGGATGGAATAAACACATTTCAGCTGCATTTGTGTATTGAAAGTGAAGAGTGTTTTCCACAAAATTCTGGTAGAATAAGAGCTGGTAAGTGGTGTCTTTTTTAAAAAAAACAATTTACTTTAGTTATTTTGTATGCTGAAACAAAATAAATTCTTTTTCAATTAATTTCAAATAGTCCTACTTTCTGAGAAAGAATGCAGTCTCAGCTGCATGGAAGATTGTTCATTTAGAGTTGGTAAAATGATATAGCACAAGATCTAACTTTATGACAACTGTATTATATTCTTATAATGTTTCATCTGAACCAGAACTCAGAATCTGTATTAAAACCACTATTTCTCCTTTGTACTATTTTGACCTTTTCTAATGAACATAAGAATGTATTTTCATGGGTTTATTAATATGCAATCTTGATTGTCTCAAATCAAGCTGTGGAACCAGAGTTGATAGGGTAGGTGTGGATATTGTGTTCATGGCTTAGAGCAGGGGTGTGAAACTGCCGGCCTGCGGGCCAGATGCGTCACACCAAAACCGCGCCCACCCCATTGCTGGCAGTGGGAAAAAAGTCACAATACGTCGCGACACATCACGTGACATCGCAAATTTGACACCTGTGGCTTACAGTCTCAAATTTAAATAGCCAGTTTGGTACCCTTCACATGAATTGGGATGGAAATTCCCAAATTGCACATCAGAAAAGCACCAGTATAGAGACAGCTGAGGGAAAATGTAATATTCAGTTATGTAATATCAAAGCTACCTATATCACCACTACCTTATTACAGTAATAATTAGTTATTGGGAGTGTAATTGCAATAGTGCAGAACTTTGGTGATTTCAAAACATAAGGATCTTATATACAAGTCATAAAGATGTGAGTCCTTTGAGGTGTAATTTCTGCTTATTTATATAGTATACATTACGGGCCTCTGAAAACATCCTTCAGAAGTTCAATTCATATATTGTAAATCCTAACACTAGCTTGTCCTTTGCCAAGTATTTTAAAGATTGCCTCTTTCAGCATTAGTTTGAGGTAGATAATTAATTCAGATGATTTAACAGCATAATTAGAAAATGAATGCTACAGAGAAACGTGTCATATTTGAACATCCTTTGCCTGGAATTTCACACTAAAGTTGATTATGTTGTGCTTTTTCTTGTTTTTCAAGAATGCTGTTTACCCAATTCAGTTCACTCCTTGCTAAACTACTCCAAAGCCGGGATAATTTTTCCTGCTCAGCCACAGAGTTCAGTTTTTCCCCTGTCCTGTTCAGTGTCTGCATGAGACCATTGAAAGAGATATCCATTAGATCAGGCAGGAAGTTTCCTGAGTTGAAACTCAGTTATACATCTTCACTCTGGGCTTGATCAGAGATATAGTGGAAGACAAGATAGAAAAATGTGGGGTAGACAGCATCACCACCAGATGGATCCGTAGCTGGCTGACCGGCCGTACTCAGCGTGTGGTCCTCAATGGAACCGCATCTACATGGAGGGAAGTTTGTAGTGGGGTGCCCCAGGGCTCTGTTCTGGGCCCAGTGCTCTTCAACATCTTCATCAACGATCTGGACGAGGGGATAGATGGGGAACTCATCAAATTTGCAGACGACACCAAGCTGGCAGGAACAGCCAACACTCCAGAAGACCGGCTTAAGATACAGAAGGATCTGGACAGACTTGAATACTGGGTGCTATCTAACAAAATGGCATTCAATGGTAAAAAAAGCAAGGTTCTACATTTAGGCAAGAAAAACCAAATGCACAGGTATAGTATAGGGGGTACCTTGCTCAATAGTAGTAACTGTGAGAGGGACCTCGGAGTCCTAGTGGACAATCACCTAAATATGAGCCAGCAGTGTGCTGCAGCTGCCAAAAAGGCCAACACAGTGCTAGGCTGCATTAACAGAGGGGTAGAATCAAGATCATGTGAAGTGTTAATACCACTTTACAATGCCTTGGTAAGGCCACACTTGGAATACTGCATCCAGTTTTGGTCACCGCAATGTAAAAGAGATGTTGAGACTCTAGAAAGAGTACAGAGAAGAGCAACAAAGATGATTAGGGGACTGGAGGCTAAAACATATAAGGAAAGGTTGATGGAATTGGGTATGTCTGGTTTAATGAAGAGAAGGACGAGGGGGGACATGATAGCAGTGTTCCAATATCTCAGGGGCTGCCACAAAGAAGAGGGAGTCAAGCTATTTTCCAAAGCGCCTGAAGGCAGGACAAGAAGCAACAGATGGAAATTGATCAAGGAGAGAAGCAACCTAGAACTAAGGAGAAACTTCCTGACAGTTAGAACAATTAACCAGTGGAACAACCTGCCTCCAGAAGCGGTGAATGCTCCAACACTGGAAGTTTTTAAGAAGAGACTGGACAGCCATTTGTCCAAAATGGTATAGGTTTTCCTGCCTGAGCAGGGGGTTGGACTAGATGACCTCCAAGGTCCCTTCCAACTTTACTATTATTATTATTGTTGTTGTTGTTGTTGTTATTATTATTATTATTATTATTATTATTATTATTATTATTATCTGATGTCAGGATAGAGTCTGGATGGAGAAAAATATACTCAGATTCCAGCCAGAATAAAATAAAATGGCCATGTGGTTTCCTTCATTCCAACTCCATCAACCTCACCTTCTTCTAAAGAACGTTGTCTAACTCTATTATCACTAGTCTTGCTCAATTGTTAAGTGAATCACTGCAGTTGTTAAGTTAGTAACATGGTTGTTAATTGAATCTGGTTTCCCCATTAACTTTGCTTTTCAGAAGGTCATATAAGGTATTCACACGACCCAGAGTTGCCAAGTGTCTGAATTTTAATCTCATGACTATGGGGGATGCTGCAACGTTCGTAAGTGTGAAAAATGGTCATAAGTTACTTTTTTCAGTGCTATTGTAACTTTAAACGGTCACTAAATGAACTGTTCTAAATCAAGGACTACCTCTAATGTGTGATCTGTAGCACATCGATTGACAAATTAAATCAAGGAGACTTCAGGGAATAATAAAAGGCAACATATGTCTTCCAGATTGTAAGCCGATTCCCAGAACCCTACCTGAGATACCCAATGGTGAAGAATGACAGGGATTTGGATGGAAATCGGAAAATGGAAGCAATATCTGAAGAGCATCTTGTGATAGGAACCCCATTGT